TCCCATTGTCCCGCTGCTGTTGTTGTTCTTTTCTTCTTCTTCTTCCTCTCCTCCTCCTCCGTTTTATTCTCCTTCTAAACCTCCCCCTCCTCCTTTGTGATAACCGGCTGTAAACTCCAGCAAAGTTCATCTTATTCGTAAACTCCCGGACTTTCATCTTTTTCTAGAACTTGAATTCTGTATGCGAATTAGATATAAAGATCTGACTTATTTTTGTAGACTGTTGGTTTCGTGATACTGAAGGTGGATTCAATACCGACTTCGAAAGAAATAAAACTGATCCTATATACGTTGTCCAGACCCACAGTAGGGAACATCTTTGAGGCATAACCACAAAAAGATGCAGTTATGTCTTGAACAGTAGGAGCACTGGTGCCGGTGCTCCACCTCTTGTGGACTGCCGATCCTTTCTTGTGACCTTGTCCACCAGGAATGTCACGGCGTCACATGAACAGATACTACCTTTCAATTAAAACAAAGTTGAGTTGTGTCCCTTATTCCCCTCTTCTCTGTCCGATTGTGACTACAGTGTTTCAATTTGAACATTTTTTGCCTCCCCTATCTTGGCTAACATTTTCTTTCTCCAAGTAGTTCTCTAGCATTGATTGTCTCTGTTTTGCTCTCTGTTCTCTCGTACTCTCTCTTTATATCTGTGCCTCTGTTTTGCTCTGTCTCTCTCATTCTCTCGCTCTTCTAATCTCATCTTTATTTTATTTAACATCACTTATGTTTTCTCGAAATCTTTCTCAACCATATTAATCCTCGTAGATTTCTGAAACCATCACTTTGCTCTTGATCCATGTCAGCCTCACTAAGCTTTTTATTTTGTTTCCTAATTTCTCATTCAAAATGTTTTTTCCTACACATTTTTCTTGTTATCTCCTCACCCATGCTCTGTGTCCCTTCGACAACAAAGTCTGTTCCTTCCTTCTCTATCTCCAGCTCGTCCCCCAATTCTGGATTTCAATCTCCATCACATCTCCGCCCTACCCCCTCTTTCCACCCCTACTTAACACCCCGCCCCCCTCCTCGCGAGCGAATCCCTTCCCTCATACATCAGCGTCAGATATTTCTTTGAAAGCCGGGCTTTTTAGCGTCGTAGATAAAAGCGCTACCTTCCCAGAAGAGCATCAACAACGGATTTAGAAGCAATGAAAAAGGTTTGGGCAGGGGTGATGGTGGTGGTAAACTATCGGTAAACACGAAACACAGTTAAAAAAAACTACAAAGTTCAGATACCCTAATTAAAAGAGTGTGTGTGTGCGCGCGCGCAAACACACTCACACACATCAACACAAACGCGCGCGCACGCACACAAACACACACACATCCTCTTGCACGACCCTCATCAATATAATTAAACTAAACTGAAGCGCTGAAGCCAGTCTGCAAACAAATGGCAGTTGATGCTATCACGTTACACAAGGCAGGTATGAATGTGCTTTGCTGGAAAAAAAAAGCTCATGTTCAACCCAGCATCCACAAAGGGGAGCTTTAGGTTATAATTGTGACTAGGGTATGTGCGCCAGACAAAATGGCTTAGCACTGTACGCTACCAAGAGCCTTGAGAAGAACTCCTGCAGTGTTGATCCGATCAAAGGAGACAGACCCAATACTGTCCCGACCGGCGACAAAGTCGTCTACCGGCGAGCCAATAAACGGCTTAGTTGCCGATGCACGTGACATAAGAGGGAAACAAATACTAATAAAGAATCTACGTCACTACGACAGGGAAAAGCCCATATGCGACCCGTAACTTCCAGCAGAATGTAGCATAAATAATTTAGAACTCACCAGCCTCTTCGGATACCAGGTTAGTTCGTAAGAGTTTGGTGCCCCAATCCACTTTGTTGTTGTTGTTGGTAATAATTCTGAATGAGGTTTCTGAGATCTGTTTCTGTTGGATTCTTATTCGAATTACGACTCTATGAGTCACTGTATTTTACACTTCTATAATGCAATTCCGGTAGGGCAGTGTCAAAATGTATTAAACCTTAAGACTGGCAGATAATGCTCGAAGCTGTTTAGATACACATCACAGCTGGAGCTGTCATTTCCTGTAGTCATTGCGTACGGCTCCATAGCTATAATCCTAGCTCATCTCTGAGATAACAGCTCCATAGCTGACATTCCAGCTCCATACCCAAGATCCCAGCCACATATCTAAGACCCAGCTCAATATCTAGGATCCCAGCTCCACAACCGAAATCCCAGCTCCTTGTTTAAGATACCAGCCCTACAACCGCAATCTCATCTCCTTGTCTAAGATACCAGCTCCATATCTGAGATCCCAGCTTCATTACTGAAATCCCAGCTCCATTACTGGAATCCAAGCTTCTTTACCGAAATTATGGCTCCATTATTGAAATTCTAGCCCCATTACTGAAATCCCAGTTTAACAGCTGAAATCTCAGCTCCCTGGCTGGAGCAAGGGCGCAAGCCACTGTGATATCTGGACTTTCTACCGCTTATGTTTGTTCAACTAAAATAAAGCCACATTTCTTTCTGCTGGAAAACTTCCATATTGAACGTGCTAAATAAAGAATTGACTTTAATAAAGTCAACAACATGATCACCAAGAACGACTGGTCGAGATTTTAAACTATTATTAATAAAAAGTGCCAAACACAACATGAACTGCAACTGGAAAGCTCGAGGGAAGAAATAGATAAGACGCACACAAATACAAACGAAACCAAACGTTTGTTCCAAATCTTTTATCCACGAGTACTACATTTATCATTAAATGTGACTGCAAAACTCATCGGACAAGACTAAATAGCTTCTTTAAAAGCCTTAAAAAAAGTGGTGTTTTTATTTAAAAAAAAAAAAAAAATTATTCAACGAATATACAAATCTGTCGTCTTAAATTGTTCAGAAACGTTTAAAGTTTTAGACATACCTCAAACAGGAAAAGAATGCAGTAACATATATGAGAAGTGAAGGGAAATCGAATCAAACGTGAACAGTTTGGCCAGAGATGACTCCCACTTACACGACCGCCTGGGCATGTCATTATTCTACGCTTAGGACAAGACATAACAAACGTAACAAGCATATGCACAGGCTTCGTCTAAGTAGTTCACTTGTGTGCATTTGAAAGACTGTGTGTGCTGACTACAGAACAAGCCCTGAAAGAATGTTCCTTGTAAAGCCCATTAGGAAGGGAATACAGGCGCACTGTACAGTCAACACTGTACTCAGAGTTGTATAGAACTAAAAAAGGAACTCCTAAGGACAGCCTAGTTTATCACAAGAACTTGTCTGTCGGTGTAAATCAGAAGTTTGTTTGTTTGTTTTAGTATGCAGAAGCCATGAGTTATTAACCCTTAGGCTCGGTATTATGGATATCGCAACCTTTCGGCCTTGATTCTATTGTAAATACCGTAAATCTGGAAGAAATGTGGCTTTTCTGCCTACCCCCGGGAGTGAACCCGCACCACAAGGAATTCGTCACCCGGTCACCGCGCAATTCGGTTTAGCCAACTACGCTAGAGAGCCGGGCATCAGAAGAAGTAGAAGGAGAAAACATACCTTAGTACACTTCGATATAGGCTAGGAGCTACTATAGCTCTGATGATGTCTAGACTAGACCAGTGGTTCTCAACCTTCCTAATGCCGCGACCCTTTAATACAGTTCCTCGTGTTGGCGACCCCGAAACATGCAATTATTCTCGTTACTACTTTATACATTCATTGAATGTGTTTTCTGAAGGTCTTGGGCGACCCCTGTAAAAAGGTCTTTCGACCCAAAAAATGGTCGCGTCCCACAGGTAGAGAACGGCTGCTCTAGACGGTATTTAATTTCCTGCCACGTCTTTTGGATCATGTCCAGGGTTACAACTGCTGCAGCGTTTTTAAGGTACTGGATGTTCCTTGTCTTCTCATCTCCGTTATAAGCCTCAGTGTCACACACGGTTATAAAAAGCTAAACTTTTCTAAACATTTTAAGCCGCTACAGGTGGATATCCATTAAATACTTCTTTAATATTCATCGTTATGTAGCTGGTCCTTTGCAGAAGGTGGCTTTTATCAGTCTGTCTTAAAGAAACTTGGTCTCTCGCCAGCTCTCCTGACTCGTGTTCTGTCACATTCAAGGAGTCGATTAGATCTTGTGCCCATCTTCGTGTTGATCCGCTCCTGCAACTCCTTCCTGGTATCATGCCTTCTGCAGTCATTTTCCCCCCAATCCGCCATGGTGCTTAACATGCTATCTATTAGCCGATCTTCCGTAATGTTAAGATCTGTTAAAATATCAATATTTCTTCTATTCTTTGTCCATGCTATCCCGAGAATCTTTCTATAGCATCTCAGCTCAAAAGCTGCTATTGTGTTTCTTAAGGACTGGGTGATATCCACGACTCACATTCTTGAATAATAACTGTTTAAAATCCCGGCAATCATTTTCGATGACCATGGAGAGTTAAAGACCGGTGTTTACGCCATTGGTGTATCGGGCACATGTTGAGGACTCTTTTCCACGCCTTCAAGCGCATTGGTCATATAGGGTTAGACCTATATTTTATAGACCAATCGGCACTTGGTGGTTGATGTGGTCAACGTTAGGTTGGCCACCTTTACTTCCCAGGACTTTACCTGGTACCCATTTAGGTCTGGATCAACCCTGTAACATGATCATTTTTGGAAAATAAAATGTCCGGCTCCGCCAGGACTTGAATCCATGACTTTCGGATCAGCAGGCTACACCACAACGACTCCCATCGGGCATCTGTTCAGTATGTTTATGTTATAGACGAACAGGCACTCGGTGGCTGATGTAGCCGACACACGAGCCACACTTGACTTTCCGTCATATTTCTTGCTACCCATTTAGGGTTGGTATGCCAGGAGGCTATGGTTCAATTATAGATGGATGCTGGTTGAAACTCAAGACTTTTGATTTGGTAAATAAACTTCTGCATACTGTGTCATCTACATGGATCAAAGGGAAACACTCAAGGGTAAAAAAGTAAGAAGACAATACAAGATGACGCACTTACCCGGGAATCTTTGCAAGGCTGTAAGTATTTCCACGACACCGGCGACGTGGAGAGGTCCACCTCGTTGAGAGGGATGTAGGTCTCTCCGATGGGGTCATCCCGGCTGAACCTGTCGTAGTCTATAACCTGTAAGTACAGGGTCTTCTCCAGGAGCTTGTTGTGCGGCCAACCTGGTGGTGGAGAGTAAGGCAGAGATCACGATACTGGACTGGTCAGTATTCACGTACTTAAGGCTGACTGTAATTGATTAATAATTAAGAAGTCCCTAAGAACAACACACGATAGCCTTGTTACTGTGGTTGAAATGTGCGGTTGTGTTTGTGCGAGTGGTTCTCTCCCCCCCCCCCCCCCTTTTTCACCTTCCCCTCTACTGAGTTTTCCAACCTCTGTTTTGTGTTCGCATTTACCACTCTATGAGGGTAGAGATTTACTTTATATTTCTCAGAAAAGCCGCTTTTACCAATCTCAACTTGAATTTTACTTGCTAAAACGTCCATTTCGCAACCTCAGAGATTTCCTCTGAACTTGAAGAAAATTGTACTTTCCAACATTAAAGGTAAAGATTTCCTTTCTGATCTCTGGCGAAATGTCGCTGCCACAACTGTTGGATTACAGCTTTATTTTGAGCACTGAAAAAAGTAAAGCATTCTTCACAGCCTTTGTGCTTCAATCCTCTCACGAGATGAATGTCATTTATTTGTGAAGACTTCGACGTGAAAGGCAGATCCGGAGGAAACATTTCTACAAAACACAGGACGAGGAGCTCGGTTTGCACCTGAAACCATCGATCTAGTTTGTATCAACAGTGGCTGAGTCACCAGGACTGCAAGTCGACCAGGTGATGAGGGCATTCTTATTGACCTGGCTCTGGTCTCTCCTTCATTTAAGTGTGTAGACTGGGTGTCCGAGGTTACCATGGCAGCGACCAACACGCTTGCAAGCACAAAAAACCCACTGGTCTAGGTGATTAAATGTGAGAAATGGGCAGAGCTGTGACAAAGAATGTTCAAAAACAAGTCACTGAAACTGTTCTGGCGACCATATAAAAGTATAAACAGTGCTGTCAAAAACATGAGTATTCCTCACTGATTGATGACAGCATCTCGCAGAGGACTGACGAAAAAAAAAAAGGGCAATGCCCTGTTTGAACACTATTTACACCAGAGAAGTCAGACAGATATGAGAGAATACAATTTTGCCAAGATGGTTACTTCAGAAAGGTGTACATCACTGCTTAGTGATCTGAAGGTTGTAATCTCGTCTCATTTGACTCGATGCGTTTTTCGATTCCCGAAACAGTTCCTCTCTGACATTCTCGGGGACTGTTGACAGCCGTGGTTAAGCCTGCCAGCCCCAAGACCTTGTGTTCAAATTCACAAAGACATCATCAGTTCTAGTTATGCCTAGTGGCACATGAGGCTTCAGAGAGAACTTTCCATGCTTTCCTGTCCTGCGAAATCTTCAGGGCAGTTTTCCATGTCAAAGATGCCGCACTCAGGTCACTTTCCATCGTTCGTCTCCATGTTGTTTTTGGGCGCCCCTGTTTTCTCTTTCCCTCTGGTGTCCATGTGAGAGCTGTTTTGGCAGGTATATCAGGATTCATTCTCATAACGTGGCCAAGCCATTTCCATCCTTTCTTGGTTATCAAACTGCCTAAAGTTTCTTGGTTTGTGACTTGAAGTAGTTTAGTATTTGAGATTGTATCTGGCCAGAAAATTTTGATAATTCTACGTAGACATGTGTGGTGGAAGGTGGACAGCTTGTGTGCATCCTTTTTGGTCATTCTCCAGCATTCCGCTTCATAAAGAAGAACTGGCAAAATGATGCTCTTGTAGAGTCGGAGTTTTGTTCCTCTGCAGTAATTGTTGGATTTCCAGATTTGCCTCATCATTCCAAAAGCAGCTCTAGCTTTGTTCAGACCTGACTGTATGTCCTCTTCGGTCCCTCCCGGCAGGGATACCACACTGCCAAGATATGTGAAATGTTCTACATTTTCAAGAGTTTGGTTATTTATGATCACTGGTTGTTGGTTTGGACTGCTTGTCATGATCTTAGTTTTCTTTGTATTTGTTCTCAGTCCCACCATTTCTGCTGTGCTGTGTAGTCTGTAACTTTTTTCTTGTATATGTTTATGTTTCCACAAAGACAGATTGTTGAAAAAAAAGTAAATGATCTAGGCTCCTAGATTAGCACAGTTAAAATGGCTATCAGGAAAATTCTGGACAATAAAGGCGACCGGCGTGGTTTTGACAACATCAGCCATTGAATGATGATTTGTCTATAAAATATGTGCCTAGGGTCATATGCTCGTTAGAAGGGTTTTGCAACTTTTGTTTGGAAGTTGTTGCTGGTTATAGCCAAATTGGGCTCTGTGTGATCCTTTTGGCGGATGACTCGTCGCTCTGGCTAGCAGTGGTAGCAGACGCAACAGCAGCAGTGGTGGTAGTAATACAAAAATAGTGGTGATGATGATGGTGGTGGTGGTGGTGATAGTAGCAGTTGTACCGTTTCTGCTGCTTTTTTTGCTGTGAACATTCACAGCCAAACTGTAACAGTCTATCGTAGTGATTCCCAAACTGTGCACCGCAGCGCCCCAAGGAGCCGCGACATCTTCACAGGGGTGCCGCAAAATATTCAAAGAGTTTAAAAAAATTAAAAATCTCTTATATA